GAGGTTTTTGGCCCACCACTTAGAGCCCAACGTACGGTTCAAACACTAAAGCCCAACATTACTGGAACCCAACGTTACATCAAGAACTAATGGCATCTAAACACTTGTCAAGAGGAGAATCAGCTACGTAAGCAGACAAAGATCTTGCAGAGTTATTGCACCACACATCAGCCATTAATGAAGCCCCTGCAGCATTAAATGCGATAATCCCTTCACGTCGGAGCAGGCAACCTCACCATAAATAAGGCAAGTTAAAGCGTAGACTTTCGGCCAACGTGACAGGTCAGAATGGACAAGGAAATGATGAATGAAGAATATAAGAAGGCTTCCAAGACACAAAAAGGTCAGGAGCCTTATCGTTATTCTCCTATCATTCGCCATAAACTCCTTTCTCTTCTAACTTGACCGTCGGAGGGTCCACTGGGGGACTCCCGTTCCCCGCTGGGCTTTTGTGCAGGTACCCCGATGGACTCAGTGATCAAGGAACGACATTGGAAGTGTGGGCCTGCGATCTTTCAGCACTATCACTTTCTTTCCTACATTATTTTTTATAGTCACAACTCATGTGAAGAAAAATCTACACAAAAACGATACTCTCGAGGAACCTCTATAGTTTGGATTTACATCTTGAGTTACTTTTTCAAGTGTTGAACAATAAGTTCTTCTATATTTTGATATCATATTATAGATAATTAATCACTTCACACACTGAGATATACCTATCATTTGAATGTTTTTAAATTATTATTATTTTTGGTTTAAATATTGTTATGTGATTCTTTGTTAGTTAGTCGTTGTTAATTTTTTTTTATATAGTTGATATTTTAATATAATTAAGAATATTTATTTTACAATCTTATAATTTAATATATATATATATATATATCATATAAAATCATTATATGATAATCCAACTATAACATATTTATATTTAATTTTTTTTAATAAATTTTATATAATTTCTATTTCTACATATTTTTATTTTCCAAACGAATATAAAAGAAAATTAAATAGTTAGAATTACTTTTAATTTTATGTTACTAATTCTTCTTCTATTTAAACTATTATTTTTAATATCAAAATGAGTATTTATTTTATTATTTTACAATTTGATATATATCATACAAAATTATTATATGATAATTACACTCTTATAATACGATAGAATTAAAATTATCAAAATACACAAATAATTTAACTAAAATTAATATATATAAGTATTCAAGTAATAATTTTTAGAATGATAGCGCCAATATTATCAAAACAAATAATTAAAATCATACTTTAATTTTAATTTTAAATTAGAATTAAAATTATTCTTTTATAACACACATTATTCAATCAAATATTTTTTTTTTAAAAATAGAACGTGTATTTCATGTGTTAAATCATAGTTTGTCATAAAAAAAAGGAATAGGCAATTCATCAATTTTTGTTTATCACAAATGCAATAAATTGAACCGACGATGAGCATCAAATCAGCCTAATTTTTGTATGAATGATATACATGAAATTTTTTATAAAATGAATGATTCAAATTATCAAAACGATATATTTGATGTATGAACTTAAACGACTCCTTTCAATACAATCCAGTGAAACGAAGTATATCCTTATATTATATTATAACCAAGCCAATCCTTAAGTCCTATCAAATAGGGTCGGCTACTTGAATCTTTCTTCTCCACTCGACTTTATTCAAGGTCATTTCGTTAGTCAAATTAAAGAGATTCATATCTCTATTTACTGTACTAGTTTACGTCAATCTAGGTTTACTCCTTCCCCTAACTTTACTATCTACCGTCACTGTATTACATCTCTTCATTGTTACTTCTGTTGGTCTCTATTGTTTATGACTAAATCATCTCAATGTATTATTTCTCAACTTATCTTCTATCGGTACTACTCATACCCATTCTCGGATATATTCATTCTTAACTCTGTCTTTTCTAGTTTTGTCATACATCCACTTTAGCATCTTTATCTTAGCAACACCCATCTTATCTATAGGTTGTTTCTTAGTTGCCCAATATTCCGTCCCATATAACATCGTTAGTCTAATAGCTGTTCTATAGAATTTCTCTTTTAATCTAATGAGTACTCGTTTATCGCACAATATTTCAGACGCACTCCTCTATTTAAACTACATCACCTTAATTTTGTAGATTATATCTACTTTAATTTCTCAAATTATTACGATAATCGATCTTAAATAACAAAAATAATTACTCTCAGCTAATGCTGAATTCTCAATTTTCATTTATGCGCTTGTGACTGTTATTAAAATGATTCAGAGGACCATGACTCCATAACTTTTTTAAAATACATCTCAATCATTCTATCACTTCAACTTTGAATTAGTTAATATTTAGACCATTAAATTAAAAAAAGGGACAAATGTTTCTTGCATGGAAAGTTGAAAACAATTAATAGTTGGGGTTGGGGAATTTAATAACAAATTTGAAGTTGAGTGCTAAAATGAGAAAAATGTTTGGGAGTTCTAAATTGGGAGCATTAAAGGAGCTCTAGAGAGTGGGTCTCACTGACTGATGTGATGTTTTGGAGTTAAGTTTTTTTTTTTTAATTTTTTTTTTTAATTTCCACCTCATTAGTGGTCCATTAGTGCTCCCAAATTAGTGAGATGTATCATTGTTGCTAAAATGACCGTGATAATTGAGCGGTGTTTGTGCAATTAATCATTTTACACAATTATTTAAAAATATTTGACAAAATATATGTGTGTGTTTTTTTTAAAGCGAAGTTGTAATTTTGATTTGGAGTCAACATTACACGTTCGACCTATGATTTTAATTTGGTCTACAAAGTTTTTTTTTTTTTTTTTGATAACTCAGGGTGTTTGGATCAGTTTGCGCGCACCTCAACTAATTTCTAGGAGACCAATCCCACCGTCCACAAGCGGGGGATCCATTTAAAGCCAGAACAAAACTCTGTATGGACTAACCCAACACATAAATTGATAGCACCTAGAGGTTTTTGAACTTGAAACCTAGAGAGGAGCAAACTCCTAAGTCCCAAACCTACACCACTAAGCCAACCTTGGGGGTTATTTGGTCTATAAAGTTGATGTTTGGTCAACTCAGTACAAATTTTTTTTTTATCAATTTTATTTAATAAAAATAAATAAACAATTTAAATTTTAAAAAAATTATAAGATTATAATTTAAATTGATAATATTAAAAATTATTTTGTTACAAGAAATAAAAACGAAGGGAGAAATAACTTATCAGTGATGATTAGAGAAAAAAAAAATACTAAAATATGATAAATATTGTACATATTAATAATTAAAATTATAATATTTTCATTAGTGAGTAATAATTTTTAAAGGTTACTCTTGAATGATAATTTTCTCTGTTTTTTTGGGTAAAATTTTCAAAAATATATTTTGCCAAAAAGTCGTTTTTGTTGGGCACAAAATATACAACATACGAACCAGGTAGGTACAAGCATTAAGCACACTCGAGGAGATAGAGCAATGAGCCCTCGTTTTTTTTTTTTTTTTGATGGGGAAACTGATTTGCATTAACAAGAGAAGGCTAAAGCCTTACACAAACCAACAGGGGGATTACAAACCCAACTGGGTGGAAGAACACTGCTAAGAAAGGCCCTCGCTACGTAATTGGCAGCTCTGTTAGCCTCACGAGGAGTCCAAAAAAAAGAAAAACTACACTGAATTGCCAAGCTTCGGAGATCTGCAATGATGGGAGCACATTCCCATGGAGGGACCGCTTCGGAGACACACAGAGATATCACCGATTGGTTATCTCCAGCAATTTCCACCTGTGAAAGATTGAGAGACCTTGCCATGAGGCATGCCCATCGAATCGCTAGAGCTTCACCCTGCAATACTGACTGAACTTCCTCAAAACGAGCATCTCCGTCCACCAGCAGGCCACTGCTATGGATGCATTAGCAGCTCCGGGCGTCATAGCCACATCGCAATTAGCTTTCAATCTGCCATGCTGAGGGGGAATCCACACTGTCACCGCAGCTCGTAGAGAATTCCGTGGAGTAGGAGTGGTCATTCACCGAATCAAGTCAGGTCGACACTACCTAATAAGAAATTTTGTGTTTGTTCAAACTTGCTCAACCTATATAATCATTCCAAGCCCAGCCGTAATATAAATTATAATTTTTAAATGTATTCATCGAGCTGCATACATAAGTTACTAAAAAAAACTACCTATTATTTTTTCATAAATAAACAAAGGCCTATCGAACAAATAACAGTTAGATATTCAATACTATATCAATTAAAACATTATAAAAAAATTTAAACCAAACATACCCATAATTCTATAAGCTCGAAGTTTTTAGGACCAAATTGTGAGTAGTACATCAAATTAAAAAAAAAAAAATCATAGTTTAAATTTCAAACTTCTTCCTTTGTTTTTAGTAATTTTTTTGATTTCTTACAAAAAGATGCGTAGAAAAATAAAGATAATGATGTGACAATTTATAGTGACTTTTTGATTAAAATATATAATTTCCAAACGAGACTTTAGAATCACCATTAATTATTGTTTATTATCAACAAATAAATTATTAACATCAAATAAAAAATAAATTAAAAAATTATACAATTAAAAAGGTGTATATATATTTAATATATTATATAAATTTATTTATTTATTAAATTAAATATGTAATGGGCGGACCAAAATATAATTTTCAAACTCAATCAATTTATTAAGAAAAATATTTGGTAGTCTAAATTTTTGTGGTTCGAATGTGTGAAAACGACGTCGTTTTATATTCAAAATGACGTCGTCTTTTGTGTTTTGAACTATTTGAGATATAATTTCTTGGATCACCTATCATGATTGATTTATTAATCAGATTGACAATATGAATCCAATCCAATTTTATATGTTAAAATTATAATTCTAATCCCTAAAAAAATAAAATTGGATTCAACGGCAACCGGCCTATGCCCATCCCAAGCCACGGGGTCATTTTCTTTTTCTAACAGATTCTCAAAATTTGGCTGGAAAACCATTTTCACACTCTATTGTAAAGGTAGCCCCCCTACTCTCATCTCTGCTAACATAAGCCTCTCCGCCGACACACCCGTCATTGCTAACCTAAGCCCCGTGCATATTTTTACCATGCTATTCCTCAAATTCTCAATCATTTCCTCTGTTTACGCCAAGCCCTATAAAATCCATGCGCACTCTAACAACCACCACCACCAACACATCCTCCTCCGCCGCCGCCGCCGTAATAACAAAACAGAGGTGTTCGGCGGCCGGGTGGAGGATAACGCCGTGCGCACCCCTCAGCCTCCCAGCACACGATAAGGTCTTTCGTAGTCAGAGAATTTCCAAATCAGGAGGGTTTAGCGGTGTAGTGAGGGAGATGGGTTCCGAGAACAAAGGCGATCACTGGCCGCCGGAGGAGACGCCGACAATGGCGGTGCACAACCACCATCGCCGCAGCCAATCACCACCACCACCAGAACAGCATCCACAGTCTGCAAAATTGCTCACATTGCCTACTGTCTTGACCATTGGCCGTGTCGCCGCCATTCCGCTTCTCGTCGGCAGTACGTTTTGTTCGATTATTCATTATTGATTTTCTATTTCTGTATTTTATGGATCTGTTTGATTTCCCGGGATTTTTTTTTTTTGGGTCAAGGGTATTTGATTATTTCATATACAATTCGTTCACATTGTTCTCCCAAATTCTATTGACAATGTCTAGATTTATTTATTTTTATATGTGTGGAGTTGGTGCGCTTGAGTTTGGACGCACACAGAGGTGAAGCAAGTAATTTGATGCATTTGATTTCCAGGCAATGTTTATTTAGGGTGTGGGATCTACAATATCATGCTAAATATTCAATTTTTAAGGTGTTTATTCTGAACATTATGTAGCTGAAGTTTGACAGATATTCTGTTCGGTTGTGGGTCAATTATATGTGTTGTTTTTCATGGTTAAGTCACCAATTGTTCTAAAAGTACAAGCCGTATCAAGTTAATACTTCCCCTCACGTGTTACCTTGTATCGCACATGGAAAGGAAAACAAACCGAGTGAATAAGGTGCATGAAGATAAATAGAACAAAGTGCACAATGATAAATAATGGGGCACACTGATATATGTTTTGTTTTTCATGGCCAAGTCACCAATTGTTCTAAAAGTTCAAGCTGTTTGGAAATGGGGGCCAAGAATGTATATCAAGTTAATACTTCCCCTCACGTGTGACCTTGTAACACACATGTAGTGGCAAACAAATTGAGAGAATAAGGTGCATGAAGATAAAAAGAACAAAGTGCACAATGATAGATAATTTTTTTTTTGGGGGAGGGGGGCGGTGTTGACAAGGTTTCCAAGATTTCTTTATACTAGAGTTCTGATATCATGTTAAGTCACCAATTGTTTGAAAAGCTTAAGTTGTTGGGAAATGGGCCCAACAATGTATATCAAGCTAGTGCACCTCACGTGGAGCTAACAAAGATATGAGACACGGTAGAAAATAGATTCAGGTGAAGAACTAGCCCACTAGTGACTACCCAAGACTCAACTCTTATACCAATTATTGAAGGCATCCAATGGGCAATTGATAAGGGTGGGAAGCGTGTCATGTCATGTTCGGGTTGTGTCATATCGGATTTGTGTGTCGAAAGTATGAACATGAACACGACTTATTTAATAAACGCATCATATATGCAACCATTAACATGACCTGTTAATAATCGTGTCAACCTGTAGGTGACACGATTGACGCATTTAATTTCTAAACCTATTTATTTACAATGATACGATTGATCCAATAAAAAACATGTTTGAGAGAGAGAGAAGCAAATATGAAAAATCTTGCTTAGAAGAAAAAGAAAAGAAAAAATCTTATATATATCAATTAATTAATATAAATATCTATCTATATATATAGCTGCACTTATATATATATAAAGTTACATAGGTCGTAAACACGCAATTTTTGGGTCGTGAGTCATGCTCATGTTAACGGGTTACACGCTAAAATAAACGGGTTAGATGTCATTTTCGGGTTTTATGGGTTCAACCAGAACACGACCTGTTTATTATATGGATTCACGAGTCATGTCATATACGTGTTCGTGTCGAAAAATACTCAACCCTAACCCGCTAATTTCGTGTACGGTTCGAGTCGTGTTATCATGTCATGTCAGGAATTCCCAACCCTAGCAATTGATAATGGGTAGAGGAGTCTCTAGATTATATGAACTGAACTCAAGTGATTTAGAAAAGCAATGTTTGATAAATCTCTAACACTCCTAGGCTAAATCCAATTGGTTCTTTGTTGGATGCCAATAATTCTAATATGATATTAAAGCTGGCTTTTGCATGGTCTCCTGTGGGCTAAGTTGCTCGCTCGAGTCTATTTCTTGTCTCTCATCTCCATGTTATCTCTTCTTGTGTGACTGGGCGCATGTGCAAGAGAGTGTTAGATACGTGTTCCACATTGTTTTTCTATGTCACCCAAGTTCAATTTATATAATCTACAGGCCCTTTCACCTATTGTCAATTAGTTTTGAGTTAGATGCCTCCAATAATTTTAATAGTAATTGCAAACTTTAGATTTTGATATGCATGTTTTATCTATATCTTCTTAAGTTCTTGTTGGTTATGTGTTGTCTTCAACAGTCTTCACTTCATTTATTAAAAAAAAATTTCTTGTGGGGACTGCCCAAAGATTTGTGATGTTCAGGGGGTAGTTTGGTTGCTTTATTTGTTTCCTGTTTTTTGTTCTTTTTTAGAAAAATTTACCATGAGATTTTGAAGCGGTAATGGCCTTCCATTTACTATACATCTGCAGCGAAACAACTCTTTTGAGTCTCATTTTTTGATACGTTTTGAGAATAGTTATCAGAAAGTTAGAACTAAAAATGTGCACCAAACATGTTTTTGTTTTGTTTTCGAAATTTGTTAAAATAAAAACACAAAATGTGAACCAGATGCGCCCTAACTTTATGCTACACGGGGACGAAACTTTGTGGCTATGCTAAATTAAGGAAAAAGATTGCTAATGTTAACTTATAGAAGATATGTTTGTTGTATATCTGTTACATCGTGACTGGATTCTTATCACTATTGATTGACATCAGCAGTGAGATCAGTAGGTGGAGGCAATATTCAAGTATAAAGTAGAATAAAATAAGCACTCCTGTTTTACTTATAATGATAAGATTCTATAATTGGTAGCTGATTTGTGTTGAACAAATTATTGTGCAAGTAGAATAAAATAGCCCTCATTTACCAATGCATAGTTGCATCTATTCTGCTTTGTGTCTGACCTATGTTTCTGGAAAAATATATCATTCTACTTCTTCAATTGCTCTACTATGTTTAATGGCCATGGCACACATATGACGAGACTAACATACTGCTCTTGTTTTCGATAGCTTTTTACATGGATGGTTGGTGGGGAACAACTTCTACAACAAGTATTTTTATTGTTGCAGCAATTACAGACTGGCTTGATGGGTACATTGCTCGGAAGGTGAGCAATACCTTTGTCTTTAAAACTGAATGAGAATTGGTGGGACCTTTCTTATATACATAATACACACATTATTCTACAAACTTATCAGTTTTGCATGCTTTAATGTGTTCCAGATGAGGTTAGGAAGTGCATTTGGTGCATTTTTAGATCCAGTGGCTGATAAGGTACATAATCTCTTATTTGATGTACTTTATGAGTTGTTAATTTGAACTGGTTGAGTTTATGAAGTTTTCTAGACTTGCAAGAGAAAACAAAGATTTTGCTTTTTACTTTAGGAGTCATGTAAGAGCTCCTTATATGATTATCATGCATTCATGCTTACTGATTGCAGCTTATGGTTGCTGCCACCTTGGTCCTGTTGTGTACCAGACCCTTCGATGTTGCTATGTTTGGACAAGTGTCATGGCTACTGACTGTACCTGCAATTGCAATAATTGGTAGAGAGGTCAGTACTTATCCTGTACTCATTTGTTATTGTTATGGATCTTGAGTACTCATTGGATGCTACTCTGTAAGTATTTAAAGTCAGAAGAGTGCACATCTGTATTATTTGTCTTCAATGTTTGCCCCTTTCATCTGGTTCTTTTCTCTTCGTTGCTGTTCTGCTGCTGCTGCTCCTCTCTCTCTCTCTCTGTGTTTTACTGGTTGATTTAGAATATAAGTAGAAGTGCTTATGAAGAAGAGAATGCTTTCAGTCATACTAGCTTACCTGTAGTGTGATATGTATGATCCTTGATGTCATCCAAATAACTTTTTTTTAGCCATTGACTTTCTAAAATAGTTAGTATACTGTGGAATTGTCAGCATTAGATTCTATCATGTTTATTTGTTTCAGACATCAACACAAAAACCGGTCTGGGACTACTGTTTAGGCATTGCGGTTCACGGAGTGCATACCAAAAATTTCTCTCTAAAGGGAAATTTTTATTGAAAATGAAACATAATCAGTTTGGTCAAATAAAGTTTTCGTAATACTGAAGTATGCCAGTGCCCATTGTGGGTCCCTCCGATGACGGGTGCTGGGCTGGGAGGGCTGGATGCATGTAGATCTGGCCTTTGACATCATTTGCACAAAGTGGTTGCACTTGGATTTGTCCACTCCACATCCTTTGCATCCTTAGCTTTTACCATTGCACGAAGCTACAAGCCAATAGGTGCCCATAATATTACCAAACCAAGCCAAGCCTTAAGTCCCATTAAATGGAGTCGGCTACATGAATCTTTCTTCTCCACTTGACTCTATCAATGGCCATTTGGTTAGTCAAATTAAGGAGATTTATATCTCTATTTATTACACTCGCCCACGGCAATTTAGGTCTGTCCCTTCCCTTAACACTTCCATTTACCGTCACTGTAACATCTCTTCACTACTGCCTCCATTGGCCTCCTTTGTATATGGTCAAACTATCTCAATTTATCCTCTCTCAATTTATCTTCTATCGGTGCTACTCTTACCCATTCATAAATAGACTCATTCCTAATTCTATTTTTTCTAGTCTTATGGCACATCCTCCTTGGCATCCTTATCTCAACAATACTCATCTTATCTACATGTTATTTTTTAGTTGCCCAACATTCCGTCTCATACAACATCATTGGTCTGATAGCCGTTCTATAGAACTTTCATTTTAGTCTAGTGGGTATTCGTTTATCATACGGTACCCCAGATGCACTCCTCCACTTAAGCCACCTTACCTTAATTCTATGGATTACATCAATTCCAAACTCCCTTACTATTGTAATAATCAATCATAAATAACGAAAATGCTCAATCTTAGGTAGTGATTAGTTCTCAATCTTCATTTCTCCTCTACTGCTATTGTTACTGTTACTAAAATTACACTCCATGTACTGTGCCTTTGTTCTGCATCATAAATCTTTTAGATTCAAGTGTTTCTCTCCATGTCTCTAGCTTAATGTTAAGTCATTCTCTAGTCTGATCCACTAACACGATATCATCTGCAAAAAGCATACACCATGGCACATCATCTTGAATATTTTTCGTCAACTCATAATATTATAAATGAAAAATTATTTCTATAAAACAAATGATTATGCCCGCCTCAGGAATATTTTCTTGTGTCTTATACCTCAGCTGGATTCCCATGGCTTCTTGTGGCTCAGGACTAGTCATGTCCTGGTGAATCTTTTTTTTTTTTTTCGTTGAAGTTTAAGTCTGGCTTGTATTATGCTTCTCTCGAGGAACCTCTAGTTTTGAAATGCTCGATACGATGCTACTTGATTGGCTTGTCTATGTAGCTCTGAGTACCATTAGTTGTGGATCTGAGCTGGTCAGCTCCCACGTTTTAGTCGGCGAATATGAGGTCATGGTACTCAGTGCTATTTATATCTACTTATTTGTATACAGATTAAGTTTTTGGTTGTGAATTGTACATTGAACACACTAGTGAGAGCTTTTGACAAATTATTTTTCCACGAGAATTTATCTCACATAGCATGTTTGTTACTGCTTTAATTATTATTATTTTTGGTTCATATTTTGTCTGATTTTATGTGTTACTGTGTGCTCTGATCTGGATGTCTTACAAATCAACTCGTGACCTAATTGCAGATAACTATGTCTGCAGTTAGAGAATGGGCTGCTTCTCAAAATGGTCGACTTTCAGAGGTTTGTGTTTGCTTCAATACTTCTCTACCACCTATGCCTCTTTGCAGGCGATAATAGCTTCTAGCTTCATTTAATGAGACAATCGTTACAACCATTTTCAGGCTGTTGCCGTGAATAATTTGGGGAAGTGGAAAACAGCCACACAGATGACTGCACTAACCATCCTCCTGGCAACCCGTGACAGCAGGTTTGTTTCTGGCGCTTTTCTTCTACCGGAAAAAATTGCCAAGAAATTTGTCCCAGAATGTCTTGTGTGGTTTAGATTCAATTTTTGTATAGTGGGACCCATACCACTTGAAATGAATCTCCACCACACATTATTTTTCTGGACAAATTTTCCAGCATTGCTGTTCTTATACAGGATTCTCATTTTCTATCCTGGTCAATGTAAATGACTGTTCTTTTGTTGTTGTTCATCTCTCTCTCTCTCTCTCTCTCTCTCTCTCTCTCATTTTACAGTCTTTCAGGGGCAGCCACTTTAGTAGCTTCTGGTGTTGTTTTGCTTTATATCTCGGCATGGCTTGCTGTGTGGTCACTAGTGGTGTATATGAGGAAGATATGGAAAGTGTTGCTGAAGTAGCAATGGTGGCCTTCCAATTCGGTTAGGCTTTCTAGTCACCGAGGTTTTGTATCAGACGGTTTCTTAGAGGTACCTGGTATACTTAAAGTACCTTATTAACTACTGATCAACTTCATAGTAATACAAAATTTCATATGCGTGGATAGAGGACGAAGCTGCCTGGAAATGTCCTATCCAAATTAGTTTGGAAAAATCAGTTTCACTATTTTGTCCTGGGCCTGTTCTAGTGTCTTCTAAATCTCATGACCTTGAGGTTGGTTTGTTTCACCTAGGGAACAACCAAATATAGATATATACATGAACAATGGTTGGTTTCGTTGTCTTTTTATTTCTTCATTATTTTTCTTAGGGAAGTTGGTGGGCTTGAAGACCAACCTCGGAGGATGCTGGATCTTTGATGCTGTAGTCGACTCAACATAGTTGTTATTGCAGTCTTGTGAGAAGACTGGGATTTGAAGTTAGGAAATGTTTATACAATGACTAACAGACTTTCTGACGGTGATATATAAATTTTGCATTTACTTTACTGTACGGATTGTGATTCAATTGAACCCACATCGGGCTTCTTTGCTGCCAAACAGGTTCTTTACCTATGGCTGTGGCGAAAAATAGTTTTGTGATTAATCTGTTGTATTTATTTTTGTTATGCCTGCAATTTTACATTTTGTTGAAACAACTTGGTTGGTTGAGTGGTGTGGAGTTGAACACATGCCAGGTTTATATAGAGCTAGGAAAATTAATCTTCTACAACCAACTCCGACTCTAACTCTATGTAGCCCAAC